ACAGAGCATGAGGGGCAGTGCCCAGTAGGGGGGACAGATCACGAGGGACAGTGCCCAGTAGGGGGGACAGACAGGGGGGGCAGTGCCCAGTAGGGGGGACAGAGCACAAGGGGCAGCGCCCAGTAGGGGGGACAGAGCACAAGGGGCAGTGCCCAGTAGGGGGGACAGACAGGAGGGGCAGTGCCCAGTAGAGGGGATAGAGCACAAGGGGCAGTGCCCAGTAGAGGGGATAGAGCACAAGGGGCAATGCCCAGTAGGGAGGACAGACAGGAGGGGCAGTGCCCAATAGGGGAGACAGAGCACGAGGGACATGCAGTGCCCAATAGGGGGGACAGTGCACGAGGGACATGCAGTGCCCAATAGGGGGGACAGAGCACGAGGGGCAGTGCTCAATAGGGGGGACAGAGCACGAGGGGCAGTGCCCAGTAGGGGGGACAGACAGGAGGGGCAGTGCCCAGTAGAGGGGATAGAGCACAAGGGGCAGTGCCCAGTAGGGAGGACAGACAGGGAGGGCAGTGCTCAGTAGGGGGGACAGTCAGGAGGGGCAGTGCCCAATAGGGGAGACAGAGCACGAGGGATATGCAGTGCCCAATAGGGGGGACAGAGCACGAGGGGCAGTGCCCAGTAGGGGGGACAGAGCACGAGAGGCAGTGCCCAGTAGGAGGGACATTGCACGAGGGGCAGTGCCCAATAGAGGGGACAGAGCACTAGGGGCAGTGCCTAATAGGGGGGACAGAGAATGAGGGTCAGTGCCCAGTAGGGAGGACAGAGCAAGAGGGGTCCAGTAGGGGGGGAACATAATGTTAATATTTAAATCCTTCTCCTTCCATGAGAATCTAAGAATTTTAACTAAATTTTGTGTTGAACATCCTTTGACAAAGGGAACTCCATTTAAATAAATGGAGGATGCAACCGGCCATCTAGTGGGATAGGGCATGTCAAATACAAGGAAATATTTTGAAATCTGTCTTCTTTACGAATGTAGGGATTTTTAATCAAATTTGATGTAAAGCATCTCTTTGCAAAGGGGGCTCAATTTTGTATAAACTGGGAGTGTGCCCCCCACCCCCTCCCCTCTCCAGGGGGCAGAGGAGTGGGGCCAAATAGAGGAATAGGGATTTTTAGGTTACCTGACCATAGGTCATGGTAACCTATTGTGATAGCCTTTTGTCCGTCGTCGTCCGTCGTGCGTTAACTTTTTCTTGTGAACAGGATAACTTCAGTAACCGAGTTTGATGAAACTTTGTATGCAGCCATATATCAATAAGATCCCGGATGAGTTCAAAAATGGGAATTATTCGACAGTGACTTACAGAGTTATTGCCCTTTGTAATAATATTATTATTGGACCTTGTGTTCACGATAACTTGAATAAATGTTGACGGAGTTCAATGAAACTTTGTCCGGTAATTATTTGACACTAACCTGCAGAGTTATTGCCCTTTGTCATTATGTTGTTATTTGTCCCTGTGATGTTGATTGACATTACACAAGAATAGATGTAAATTCATGTGGTACACCTTTATTTTCATTCATAACGCATTTTTACTACTAACAAGGTGCTATTAAAATTTTGTGCCTTATTTAATAAATCATTGATTTTCACTTTTACTTGTTTCTTTTAACCAAGAACAGAAGACATACAGTTACCAAGTTTGTTCAAAACAGACCCCTTGGGTCAAAATTGGAGTCACACCCATTTATTTCAGTTATCGTGTTCACAGGGTCCAACAATAATAGAATTACCAGGGGGAATAACTATGTAAGTTATGGTCAAATTGGTCCGGTATTCAAACTCATCCAAGATCTCATTGATACAAAGCTGCATACAAAGTTTCATCAAAATAGGTTCATATTTACTGAAGTTATTGTGTTCACAAGGAAAAATTAATGGAAGATGCAGCAAGGTCACTCGGACCGACGAAAAGTATGAATTGGCACCTGGATGACAGTCCTAATTTGAATCGGATGTCAGGTGATCGTTAAGGCCCATGGGCTTCTTGTTTATATTTAAAATCTCCTTCCATTTAGATTTATTGTAGAAAACCAAATTTGGCAAGGTGGAATCAATTTAGTATAAATGGAGGATATATCCCCATGAGAGCAGAGGGTTGAGGCCCAATTAAGGGGAGGGGGTGTTACAACCAAAATGAAACTTTAAATCTCATGAAACAATTTGGACAAATAGTCCTCCTACTCTCCATTGGTCATTGCCTGTTGGAGAGAAGAAAAAAATTATACATATGTAAAATGGCAAAGCTGGATGGTGTGATTTCCGAAGGCATGCTTGTGTCCCTTCAAAACTTTGCATGTGTTTTGAGCTCACCCAGCATGAAGTGGGTACCTGGGCAGTAAGTACCTGGGATGGAGTGCTAACTTCACTGAAATAAATGTTCTTGACCAACTTTCAATATCACAAGGGTCAAATGTGTTTAAAAACCTTTAAAAATTTCTTCTGTATAACCTAGGGGCCAAGAGCAATGATATTTGGCCAGTAGGTACCTGAGATGGAGTGCTATAAAGTTTCCTCAAATAAATGACTTTGACCTACTTTCAAGGTCACATTGGTCAAATATATAAATATCTTTAAACGACTGCTTCTGAATAATCAGGAAGCCCTGATTAATGATACCTGGCATGAAGTGCTAAAAACTGTCCTCAAATAAATGACCTTGTCCTACTTTCAAGATCACAAAGGTCAAATTATTAAAAACCTCTAAACAACATCTTCTGAATAACCAGGAGGCCCAGTGTGATTACAGTAGGATAGTAGCCTGCTGGGATAGATAAGTATAAAGTTTCAAGTAGTCTTAAGTCAATATATTGAAATGTTTTATTTAGAACATTTTACCATGATTGATCAAGTATTGAGGTGATCAATACAAGCCCTCTGGGCCTCTTGCTTAACAACAATACTGACTCATGATTTGATTGAATTTGACAGAAAGAAGAAAAACATGCATTCAAGAGTTTAGGAACCGGGAACAGGATAGCAACGTGGCTCACCTACGTAAGTTTAAACCAAAGTCATCCACTAGTAAGGTAAAATTTTGGAGTGCCCTACGTTTATTTGTGACTCCACTAGTAAGGTAAAACCTTGGAGTGCCCTACGTTTTTTTGTGACTCCACTAGTCAGGTAAAACCTTGGAGTGCCCTACGTTTATTTGTGACTCCACTAGAAAGGTAAAACCTTGTCCGTCCCGTACATTTTAAACCGTTAAAGATATCTTGATCAAACTTGAAGCATACCGAAGTTTGTCCGGAGCATAAGTTCCATGTTATTTCACCTACATTGACCAAATTTACCATATTTATGTATCTGGGGAAGGCGGTATGTCTTGCACTAAAATCAGGTTTTATGCCCCACTATATACAGAGTTATGGTCCTCTGTTATTTTTAATACCGAAGTTTGGCTACAGCATAACTTCTAAACCATTAAAGATATCTTAATCAAACTTTGAGTATACCTGCATCACCAACAGAAGGTGTGCAGTACACTGGAACTAGGTCTTGTTCCCCACTATATATACAGGGTTATGGCCCTTTATTTATTATTAATACCGAAGTTTGTCGACGGCAAAACTTCCATGTTATTTCACCTACGTTGACCAAACTTGCCATGTAGTTTTAATGTATTTTGAAATTAAAAAGACTTCTCCTGAAGAACCAAAAGTCCTAGAGTCATGATATTTGGCTGGTAGCTTCTTTGCATACAAAAATGACCTTGACCTGTTTCAAGGTCCTTGGGGCTAAATATTTGAAAACCTTTTAACAACTTCTTCTGATGAACTGTTAAGACCTAGAATATTGATATTTGGCTGTTAGCTTCCTTAGATGAAGCCGGACAAATGTGCAAACTTAATTTACCTTGGGCACTCCAAAGTCACAATGTTCAAATAAGTCAAAAGCTTGGGATCAAAGGTCAAGGTAACTGTGACTGCATTCTAAACTAGAATCCACTTTAAATTTTTGTTTACTCCTTTAAAACATTTCACAATCATTACCCACAATGTTAATTCCATCACAAGAATGTGAATATCTTTGGTTGACTTTACAGTAAAATTGGGTTGTGAAGTTGAGTTGACTTTTTTCGTTTAATTTTACAGATGAGTGACGTCAAAGCTGGAGGAGCTACAGTGTTTCCTTACATTGGGGTTAAAATCTTCCCTGAAAAGGTAATCTATCCATAGGCTCTTAGTCCCTGGTCATAACATAGATATGGTTCAGATACTTGGTTACTTAGTCCCTGGTCATAACATGGATATGGTTCAGATACTTGGTTACTTAGTCCCTGGGTCATAACATGGATATGGTTCAGATACTTGGTTACTTAGTTACTGGTCATAACATAGATATGGTTCAGATACTTGGTTACTTAGTCCCTGGTCATAACATAGATATGGTTCAGAAACTTGGTTACTTAGTCCCTGGTCATAACAAAGATATGGTTCAGATACTTGGTTACTTAGTCCCTGGGTCATAACATGGATATGGTTCAGATACTTTGTTACTTAGTCCCTGGTCATAACATAGATATGGTTCAGATACTTGGCTACTTAGTCCCTGGGTCATAACATGGATATGGTTCAGATACTTGCATGGTTACTTAGTCCCTGGTCATAACATAGATATGGTTCAGATACTTGGTTACTTAGTCCCTGGGTCATAACATAGATATGTTACTTAGTCCCTGGTCATAACAAAGATATGGTTCAGATACTTGGTTACTTAGTTACTGGTCATAATATGGATATGATTCAGATACTTGGTTACTTAGTTACTGAGATACTTGGTTACTTAGTTACTGGTCATATTATAGATATGGTTCATATACTTTGTTACTTAGTTACTGGTCATAACATAGATATGGTTCAGATACTGGGTTACTTAGTTACTGGTCATATTATAGATATGGTTCAGATACTTTGTTACTTAGTTACTGGTTATATTATAGATATGGTTCAGATACTTTGTTACTTAGTTACTGGTAATAACATAGATATGGTTCAGATACTTGGTTACTTAGTCCCTGGGTCATAACATAGATATGGATAACATAGATATGGTTCAGATACTTGGTTACTTAGTCCCTGGTCATAACATGGATAGGGTTCAGATACTTGGTTACTTAGTCCCTGGGTCATAACATAGATATGGATAACATAGATATGGTTCAGATACTTGGTTACTCAGTTACTCGTCATAACATGGATATGGTTCAGATACTTGGTTACTTAGTTATTGGTCATAACAAAGATATGGTTCAGATACTTGGTTACTTAGTTACTGGTCATAACATGGATATGATTCAGATACTTGGTTACTTAGTCCCTGGGTCATAACATAGATATGGTTCAGATACTTTGTTACTTAGATACTGGTCATAACATGGATATGGTTCAGATACTTGGTTACTTAGTTATTGGTCATAACAAAGATATGGTTCAGATACTTGGTTACTTAGTTACTGGTCATAACATGGATAGGGTTCAGATACTTGGTTACTAAGTTACTGGTCATACCATGGATATGGTTCAGATACTTGGTTACTTAGTTACTGGTCATAACATGGATATGATTCAGATACTTGGTTACTTAGTTACTGAGATACTTGGTTACTTAGTTACTGGTCATATTATAGATATGGTTCAGATACTTTGTTACTTAGTTACTGGTAATAACATAGATATGGTTCAGATACTTGGTTACTTAGTTACTGGTCATAATATGGATATGATTCAGATACTTGGTTACTTAGTTACTGGGTCATAACATGGATATGGTTCAGATACTAGATTACTTAGTTACTAGTCATAACATGGATATGGTTCAGATACTTGGTTACTTAGTTACTGGTCATAACATGGATAGGGTTCAGATACTTGGTTACTTAGTCCCTGGGTCATAACATAGATATGGATAACATAGATATGGTTCAGATACTTGGTTACTTAGTTACTGGTCATAACATGGATATGATTCAGATACTTTGTTACTTAGTTACTGGTCATAACATAGTTATGGTTCAGATACTTGGTTACTAAGTTACTGGTCATACCATGGATATGGTTCAGATACTTGGTTACTTAGTTACTTGGTCATAACATAGATATGGTTCAGATACTTGGTTACTTACTTACTGGTCATAACATAGATATGGTTCAGATACTGGGTTACTTAGTTACTGGTCATATTATAGATATGGTTCAGATACTTTGTTACTTAGTTACTGGTAATAACATAGATATGGTTCAGATACTTGGTTACTTAGTTACTGGTCATATTATAGATATGGTTCAGATACTTTGTTACTTAGTTACTGGTCATAACATAGATATGGTTCAGATACTTGGTTACTTAGCTACTGGTCATATTATAGATATGGTTCAGATACTTTGTACTTAGTTACTGGTCATAACATGGATATGATTCAGATACTAGATTACTTAGTTACTGGTCATAACAAAGATACGGTTCAGATACTTGGTTACTTAGTCCCTGCGTCATAACATAGATATGGTTCAGATACGTGGTTACTAAGTTACTGGTCATAACATGGATATGGTTCAGATACTTGGTTACTTATAATTAGTCACTGGTCATAACATGGATAGGGTTTAGATAGGTTACTTAGTCCCTGGGTCATAACATAGATATGGTTCAGATACTTGGTGACTTAGTTACTGGTCATAACATGGATATGGTTCAGAAACTTGGTTACTTAGTTACTGGGTCATAACATAGATATGGCTCAGATACTTGCTTACTTAGTTACTGGTCATAACATGGATAGGGGTCAGATACTAGGCTACTTAGTTACTGGGTAATAACATAGATATGGTTCAGATACTTGGTGACTTAGTTACTGGTCATAACATGGATATGATTCTGATACTTGGTTACTTAGTTACTGGTCATAACATAGATATGGCTGAGATACTTGGTTACTTAGTTACTGGTCATAACATAGATATGGCTGAGATACTTGGTTACTTAGTTACTGGTCATAACATGGATATGATTCTGATACTTGGTTACTTAGTTACTGGTCATAACATAGATATGGCTGAGATACTTGGTTACTTAGTTACTGGTCATAACATAGATATGGCTGAGATACTTGGTTACTTAGTTACTGGTCATAATATGGATATGATTCAGATACTTGGTTACTTAGTTACTGGTCATAAAATGGATAGGGTTCAGATACTAGGCTACTTAGTTACTGGGTAATAACATAGATATGGTTCAGATACTTGGTGACTTAGTTACTGGTCATAACATGGATATGATTCTGATACTTGGTTACTTAGTTACTGGTCATAACATGGATAGGGGTCAGATACTAGGCTACTTAGTTACTGGGTAATAACATAGATATGGTTCAGATACTTGGTGACTTAGTTACTGGTCATAACATGGATATGGTTCAGAAACTTGGTTACTTAGTTACTGGGTCATAACATGGATATGGTTCAGATACTTTGTTACTTAGTTACTGGTCATAACATGGATAGGGGTCAGATACTAGGCTACTTAGTTACTGGGTAATAACATAGATATGGTTCAGATACTTGGTTCCTTAGTTACTGGGTCATAACATAGATATGGCTCAGATACTTGCTTACTTAGTTACTGGTCATAACATGGATATGATTCTGATACTTGGTTACTTAGTTACTGGTCATAACATAGATATGGCTGAGATACTTGGTTACTTAGTTACTGGTCATAACATGGATAGGGTTCAGATACTAGGCTACTTAGTTACTGGGTCATAACATAGATATGGTTCAGATACTTGGTTACTTAGTTACTGGTCATAATATGGATATGATTCAGATACTTGGTTACTTAGTTACTGGGTCATAACATGGATATGGTTCAGATACTTGGTTACTTAGGTACGGTCATAACATAGATATGGTTCAGATACAAGGTTACTTATTACTGGTCATAACATGGATATGGTTCAGATACTTGGTTACTTAGGTACTGGTCATAACATAGATATGGTTCAGATACAAGGTTACTTATTACTGGTCATAACATGGATATGGTTCAGATACTAGGTTACTTATTACTGGTCATAACATGGATAGGGTTCAGATACTTGGTTACTATACAGATATGGTATAATAATGTAGCAAAATAATGACGAGAATTACAGTTAATTCAAATCTTGTTTCTTCAGCATAGGAGGGCCATTTGAAGGGGTCTAGTTAAATTACCTTTGATAAAGTATTCCAGTACACAGTGCTGTTGTATGTTTTTAGGGTGGAGCAGCATTCTGGTACAACTTATATAAGAGTGGGGAAGGTATATATGACACACGACACGCTGCATGTCCTGTGCTGGTCGGAACCAAATGGGTATCTAACAAATGGATTCATGAAAAAGGCCAGGAGTTCCGGCGGCGATGTGGTCTCAATCCTGATGAGTAACAGAAATGGAAATGAAGCATTTGTGTTGTGTCACCGTCATGATTACCTCACGTCTCCATTGGCCCATTCATCATCATTCATCAGTATTTATAGAGTATCGCAGATAATGTACCCAAATTTATGTTCTTCTGAACTCAACCCAAAACAGATGTTCACACATGTAAATGATGTAGATGTTTTGTATGTACATGGTGTTTTGTATGTACACAGTGTTTTGTATGTACAGTGTTTTGTATGTATAGTGTTTTGTATGTACACAATGTTTTGTATTTACACAGTGTTTTGTATGTACACAGTGTTTTGTATGTATACAATGTTTTGTATGTACATAGTGTTTTGTGTTTTGTATGTACATAGTGTTTTGTATGTACACAGTGTTTTGTATGTACATAGTGTTTTGTATGTACACAGTGTTTTGTATGTACACAGTGTTTTGTATGTACATAGTGTTTTGTATGTACACAGTGTTTTGTATGTACATAGTGGTTGGTATGTACATAGTGTTTTGTATGTACACAGTGTTTTGTATGGACACAGTGTGTTTGTAGCTTTGTTTACTGTTGTGTACCAGGTTTGAGTGTCTGGAGTTGTAATTCAATCAATTTTTAACCAGCATCTTAGTGGATAATTTGAGGTGCAGGGTCACTGTCACATTTGTTCTTTAAATGGTCTAATTTCTGAAGTTATCAAATTTTATTATAAAGTGTTTTCTCTGGTTTTTCCCCTTTTTATTTTGCATATAACCACATCTTTCAACATGGAAATCCATACTCTGAATTGAACATGAAAAATGGATCGGTAAAGGAAGAGGAAATTATATATTAAGTATTAATTCAATATATAAAATATATTTTATATGGATGTCTGGAGTAGCCAGTGTGTAGATATAAGATACATTTTATATGGACGTCTGGAGTGGCCAGTGTGTAGATATAAAATACATTTTATATGGATGTTTGGAGGGGCCAGTGTGTAGATATAAAATATATTTTATATGGATGTCTGGAGTGGCCAGTGTGTAGATATAAAATATATTTTATATGGATGTCTGGAATGGCCAGTGTGTAGATATGAGATATGTTTTATATGGATGTCTGGAATGGCCAGTGTGTAGATATGAGATATGTTTTATATGGATGTCTGGAATGGCCAGTGTATAGATATAAGACATATTTTATATGGATGTCTGGAGTGGCCAGTGTGAAGATATAAAATATATTTTATATGGATGTCTGGAGTGGCCAGTGTGAAGATATAAAATATATTTTATATGGATGTCTGGAGTGGCCAGTGTGAAGATATAAAATATATTTTATATGGATGTCTGGAGTGGCCAGTGTGAAGATATAAAACATATTTTATATGGATGTCTGGAATGGCCAGTGTGTAGATATGAAATATGTTTTATATGGATGTCTGGAATGGCCAGTGTGTAGATATGAGATATGTTTTATATGGATGTCTGGAATGGCCAGTGTGTAGATATAAGACATAATTTATATGGATGTCTGGAATGGCGAGCGTATAGATTTAAGACATATTTTATATGGATGTCTGGAGTGGCCAGTGTGTAGATATTAAACATATTTTATATGGATGTTTGGAGTGACCTGCAGGGGGCAGATATAAAATATATTTTATATGGATGTCTGGAATGGCCAGTGTGTAGATATGAAATATGTTTTATATGGATGTCTGGAATGGCCAGTGTGTAGATATAAGACATAATTTATATGGATGTCTGGAATGGCGCGTGAATAGATTTAAGACATATTTTATATGGATGTCTGGAGTGGCCAGTGTGAAGATATAAAACATATTTTATATGGATGTCTGGAGTGGCCATGTGTAGATATAAAATATATTTTATATGGATGTTTGGAGTGGCCAGGGTGTAGATATAAAATATATTTTATATGGATGTCTGGAGTTGCCAGTGTGTAGATATAAAATATATTTTTTATGGATGTCTGGAGTGGGCTGTGTGTAGATATGAAATATATTTTATATGGATGTCTGGAATGGCCAGTCTGTAGATATGAAATATGTTTTATATGGATGTCTGGAATGGCCAGTGTATAGATATAAGACATAATTTATAAGGATGTCTGGAATGGCGAGTGTATAGATTTAAGACATATTTTATATGGATGTCTGGAGTGGCCAGTGTGAAGATATAACACATATTTTATATGGATGTCTGGAATGGCCAGTGTGTAGATATAAGACATAATTTATATGGATGTCTGGAATGGCGCGTGAATAGATTTAAGACATATTTTATATGGATGTCTGGAGTGGCCAGTGTGAAGATATAAAAAATATTTTATATGGATGTCTGGAATGGCCAGTGTGTAGATATGAGATATGTTTTATATGGATGTCTGGAATGGCCAGTGTATAGATATAAGACATAATTTATATGGATGTCTGGAATGGCGCGTGAATAGATTTAAGACATATTTTATATGGATGTCTGGAGTGGCCAGTGTGAAGATATAAAAAATATTTTATATGGATGTCTGGAATGGCCAGTGTGTAGATATAAGACATAATTTATATGGATGTCTGGAATGGCGCGTGAATAGATTTAAGACATATTTTATATGGATGTCTGGAGTGTCCAGTGTGTAGATATAAAATATATTTTATATATATGTCTGGATTGGCCAGTGTGTAGATATAAAACACATTTTATATGGATGTCAAGAGTGGCCAGTGTGTAGATATAAAATATGTTTTATATGGACGTCTGGAGTGGCCAGTGTGTAGATATAAAATCCATTTTATATGGATGTTTGGAGGGGCCAGTGTGTAGATATAAAATATATTTTATATTGATGTCTGGAGTGGCCAGTGTGTAGATATAAAATATATTTTATATATATGTCTGGATTGGCCAGTGTGTAGATATAAGACACATTTTATATGGATGTCTGGAGTGGCCATATGTAGAAATAAGACATATTTTATATGGATGTCTGGATATCTGGAGTGGCCTGTGTTTAGATATAATACATATTTTATATGGATGTCTGGAGTGGCCTGTGTGTAGATATAAGACATATTTTATATGGATGTCTGGAGTAGCCAGTGTGTAGATATAAAACATATTTTATATGGATGTCTGGAGTGGCCAGTGTGTAGATATAAAATATATTTTTTATGGATGTCTGGAGTGGCCAGTGTGCACTTTTCATAATACCTGCAATATTGCCAACATTGTGATGTTTGTGAATGAATTGTTCTGTTGTGAAGTGTGATGGTTTGAATGTTTACAAATTGATCAACACAAGCACTTGTAACAAACTACAGTGGGTTAGAGAGGTAACAAACTGCAGTGGGTTTGAGAGCCATTATTTCAATGCACTTTTAATATGCCCTTGGCGTGTAATGCTTTATCATAGAGGAAGTGAACTGAAGTTTGTATAATGTTATGAATCTTGCATAATAATCCTGTTTTAACCGTATGCTTTTGTGATGTTGAATCCAATAAACTAGAATAGTGTTAGAAAATATTTTGTAATTTTGTATTGTGTGTAGAGTTACGGTAAAGCAGGCTTATTACATCATGTTTTATAACTGTGCAAGTACATAGGGTTCAATCTTTAGTGATGTGTAGATAGTACACATATCCACTACCACAAAACTAGTTCTCACACCTATCCACTACCACAAACCTAGTTCTCACATATCCACTACCACAAACCCAGTTCTCACACATATCCACTACCATCATACTAGTACTCACCTATCCACTACCACAAACCTAGTTCTCACACCAACCAAATTCTCACACCTATCCACTACCCTAAACCCAGTTCTAGCACCTATCCACTACCACAAACCTAGTTCTCATATATCCACTACCACAAGCCTAGTTCTCACACACTTATGCACTACCACAAACCCAGTTCACACACCTATCCACTACCACAAACCTAGTTCTCACACCTATCCACTACCCTAAACCCAGTTCTAGCACCTATCCACTACCACAAACCTAGTTCTCACATATCCACTACAATCATACTAGTACTCACCTATCCACTACCACAAACCTAGTTCTCACACCAACCAAGTTCTCACACCTATCCATTACCCTAAACCCAGTTCTAGCACCTATCCACTACAACAAACTTAGTTCTCACATATCCACTTCCACAGGCCTAGTTCTCACGAATATCAACTGCCACAAACCCAGTTCTCACACCTATCCACTACCACAAACCTAGTTCTCACACCAACCCAGTTCTCACACATCCACTACCACAAACCTAGGTCTCACATATCCACTACCACAAACCTAGTTCGTACGAATATCAACTGCCACAAACCCAGTTCTCACACCTATCCACTACCACAAACCTAGTTCTCGCACATATCTACTGAAATTGATTGAGTGGTAGGTAATACAGCCATGGGTTGATGTAGATTTATGTACCCCCTCTGTACTGGGGTCGGACCGGTTACTTTATTATGAAATTTGTTAGCTTTGTTCTGTCATAACATTCGTATTGCTGTTATAAAGTCATTACATGTCTTACCAGCAAAGAAGGCTTCTTGTGAAAACCTTGTTAGTCTTAACCATTGTTGAATGAAGGGGATTTAATATATTATATAAACAGAGGGGGTGCTAAGCTTAAAGGGAAGATTTGTATCCAAGCCACAAGGACTTATCCCCCCCCCCCCCCCCCCCCCCCCCCCCCAATTCATAACATGGAAACATTTGAGATACCCTTCATATAACCATATATTTTTTATACAATTACTAGACATTAAGAGATACATACACTCATGTTACTAGATTTCTTTTTCTGAAAGCCAGTTTCTTTATTACTAAACATTGCTTATTGAAAATTCATAAACATATAAACAGGATATGTAGTATCTCCAGATGATGTCTCTGCCTCATGGTGTACTGTCACCAGGTGACGTCCCTGCCTCATGGTGTACTGTCACCAGATGATGTCTCTATCTTGTGGTGTACTGTCACCAGGTGACGTCCCTGCCTGTGGTGTACTGTCACCAGGTGACGTCCCTGCCTCATGGTGTACTGTCACCAGGTGACGTTGCTGCCTTGTGGTGAACTGTCACCAGGTGACATCCCTGCCTTATGGTGTACTGTCACCAGGTGACATCCCTGCCTTGTGTTGAACTGTCACCAGGTGACGTCCCTTCCTCATGGTGTACTGTCACCAGGTGATGTCCCTGCCTCATGGTGTATCGTCACCA